TCCTCAACCTCAATTCTGTCAAACTGCATCTGACTCAAAGGAAGGGCATCCATTTCTACACAATCTAGATTCTGCTGGATTGGAGCAGGATCGACAAAAACTTCTCAGACTTAGTAAAAGCCCAAAACACCTTTGGGTCAGATTGGATATTGCTTTCAGCTCTTCTAACATATATATAGATATATATACATTCTATTTTAATGATAATTGAGATTTATTCAAGGTTTGAATAGCCCTCGGTATTGGAATTACTTATAACATTTTCAGATTAAGTTAAGCACATATGAATTCAACTCGTCATTTACCGATTCCGCGGCTAAAAAGTTTCCATGTCCCTAACTCTACTCATCGAGCCGTTAATGTTTAATTCAAGTACATCACGAATTTGTTAATAACCTTCACTGCATAATTTCACAAAAAGTAAACCCATGTATTACTAGAAAGTACACTTCTGTTTGTTAAGTAGATTGGGTTCTGCTGCTTCACAATTAGCTAAAGATTCAAGTATTAAATTTGGTGGGCGTTCTTCAAAACAATATGGATTGCTCATCACTAAAACCCAGTCAACATAAAAACTGTTAAATTTAGTACAGACATATGATTTATAGCGTTCTTATATGACCATTCGTAGTTCCAATTTGTTAAAAAGCTAGAAAGGAATACACATCGCACCCGGAGCAGTTTTTAGGCGATGAAGAACGTTCCTCATCTAGTTCAGAAAATGACAAAACTTCCGTGGCAATTCCGATAGTTAGCAATATTCTGCAACAAAGCATTCTACGTAGTTTGAAATGAAAGAAGATAAGAGAACAAAGCGAAATCCAGCCTAGAGACGAAAATTCTTGTAAGAATAAAGTTGAACAAGAAAAGCTAGATCAACTATTAGCTAGGGGTGTTTATGCTATAGGTACTCCATTTGCCATTGTTGAAAATAATCACTGGCAAACATTTGACACCATCTTTCAAAATGCCTACACGTTATTTATTATCAAATAAATTACTGGACTCCGAGTATGAAAAAGTTCATGCCGACATTAAAATGAAAATTGGAGAAGCGAATGCTCTTAGCTTACAGTGTGATGGTTGGAGCAACCAAAGGCAATTAAAAACCATACCGCAGAATATATTGCTGAAAAAATCGATGAAATTTTGAGAGAATACAATGCCAGTGCAGTGGTTAAACCATGAAATATACTTCATGAAATGTACAAACATATTTCTTTGTTTGTTGGACACATTTGTTAATTGGAGACATTTCAAAAATGAAAACCATGTCTACTATTATGGAACATGTTAAGGCTCAAAAAAATGCAAACTGAAAGAAATGACATCAAAATAGCCATTTCTTTAAAATTACCTGTGAAAACACTATGGGGATCAATTATTGATCGTTTAAAAAGTCTTCTTGATACAAAATATGCATTAAAAACATTAGCAGTTTGTGAAACAGTTGAAGATTGGATGAGGATATTTTTTGGATAAAAGTTTCAAACTTTTATCACCTAATAAACCCTATTAGATAAATAACTGGGTTAATCCAAAGGGTTAAATACATAACCCAACTGGAAGGAGATAATCCAAGGTTATGCGAAGTAGCTGAATGCTTTTATGAGTTGGAACGCTTTGCTTAACCAAGAAGAAAGGGAAGTAAAAAAGTTTTAGTTAAGAAAAAGCAAATGGCAATAAATCCAATCCATCTTGCTGCAAATAAAATCCAAATTTTAATGGAATACATCTTAATAGAAAAGAACAAATGCAAGGAACAGAGTTTATAGACAGTATGATTTCTGTAACAAGTCCAGATGAGTCTGCAGAGGTAATGGCAGAATTGGCCATAGGAAAACCATATGTTTTAAAATCCGTTGAAAAACTACATCCCGTTGTATGGTGGGTTGTTTTGGGTAAACATTAAGTAAAGTAGCGGTCAAGATACTAAGTATGGTTGCGAGTATCGGCTTATGAGCTGGTAAAATAACTCATTGCTCATAATTTAAAATTATTAGATTCTGCCACCAATGTGGAGGTTAATGAAGGCAATGAAGACCTTTCTGATATTGAAGTGATTGAATGCAGTGATTTGGAAACTTTGCCAGAGCTGTCTGGAAACTCATTAGATTCGAACTACTAATTGTTTAATTTTTCTTATAATAATACTCGTTTTTGTTGCTTTTTTTGTTATTTGTTTCAAAGAATAAATTATTTTTTTACGCCAAATAGATTCTAAACATCATAAATAAGTCCTCCATAGTAATTAATCCCATAAATATGAACCATTCCACGTTACAGCCGTCAGACTGAATTTGCCGAGCTGTATTTGTATTGAAAAGAGGAATTCGAGAATATTCTCCTATTTTTTATCTAATCCAGCCCAAACGTGCAAGACATTGAAAGGTAAAGTGTAAAGTATGTTATTGAAAGATAGACAGGCTAATATAAAGCTACATAAAGCTACTCAAAGAATACGTATCCGGATAATCAGAAATTCCATATTAAAACCTATAAATATGTTGTAGCTGTTCATTAAGATTTAGGATGAGAATTAAAACTTTATAAAAACAGTAAGGAAAGAGCATCCATTGGATAAAGTGTCAAACTTTAAATGCGAAAAAATTAGATCTCACCTTATGTCATTTCAACTTATGAAAGCTATTATACAAGAAAAATTACCTTGAAGAAGTATTTACCTTCTATTTAACTATGCAAAAAATGTAGAAATTGTTCTCTGTGAGTAACGAAAATCCTTCTTCCATAAAAATTTATTGCGAAAAGTTTCGTAAGTTGAATTTTTTGTTCAAAAAGCCACGTATAGACACTTCTTTTACATGTGATAAGTTTATAATGACAATACAGCTTTCTGAGGATATTAAAGCTTGCTCTATTTGCTCAGCATGATTGACACAAGACAGTAGCTGATCAATCCTATGAGCACAAACAATTAGATTCGAATTCATGTTATGCCAATGATGAGTCTGCAACTGTACAATTTTGACTTACAACAATGTTTGTCTAAGCCAGCTTTAAACTCCTTAGTTGCGTTTTATAAACGTCAGCTCGCAACATTAAATTGCATTGAATTTTTTGTGTTTTGTGTCGCCACTTCTAAGAACTTACACTTCTTCAGTGCCTGAAGAAGATATAATAAAGAAACGAAATATTGGTAATAATAATGATTTTGTGCTTTCCAGAAAAAAATTGGCTTTCAAATAGATTCACTTGATTTTAATCTGAAAGTAAATGAACCCTCCATTGAAAAATCCAGCCAATACCCTAACACCATTGAGATTATCAGCAAGACATTTTTCATCATTTGTGCGACCAACAGCAAAGAAACCGCATTGGACAAGCTGAGGATTAAACTTGTCGACTTTGGAACGACAAGTCAGAAACAGCTGAACATAATTTAAGACACAAAATTTTGATTTGCCCTAAACTTTTGGAGGGTTAAAGTTACAATAGATCTTATAGGTCGCAGTAACGAGAGGAGCCGCTCCCTCAACCCAGCAGCAATAATAATAATAATAACAGCAAAGAAAAAGAATCCAAATCGACTTTGTTTCCTCTATCCAAGAAAGAAGATAAAAACAACAAAAGGGTTCGCAAAGAAATAAATTCCTTTGTATGTTAAGAAAATATACAATATTAAAATTGATCTAAAAACAAGCGCATTATAATTGATGCTTTAAGAGGTTAATAAGGTTATTTTTAATTTGTGTTTCTACATACTAAAATTTTGTATTTAATCAATTTATTTTCGAATAATGCCAACTTTCTATATGACTTATATTTTTAACCTGTATTACATTACAGAAAACCGGAAGTGCCGTCTCCAGGAAGTGTTCAAATTGTTTCTGACGTTTATACAACAACGCCTACAACTACAACAACAGTTAAAAACAAAGAAGTGCTCGAGGCAAAGTCGGAAAGTAAGTTGTTTTTCATGTAGTAATATTGGTAAGGTCGTAGAAAACTGACCACTTTAGAAAACGTAAAGCTCATTTTGAAGCTATATAACAATGACTTAATGAATACATTTATTTTCGGTTTACGATTGTTTTGAAATTGTTTAATTTACACCGTCCAAGGCTTTGAATTGCTAAAACCTTTTGTTTTGAAATTATTAAAACGTTTTTTATATTTGGTTGTTACGCTCTACTTACATCTATGTCGTACTTAGAAGTAAGTTATAGTATTTTTGGCAGAATCCAACGTCATTTTTGTTACCTTTTTTTAAATTAAAAATAAATTTGTGAAAATTTCCATACACGTTTCCGTAAAAACACCCACCGTTAGACCAGAACTTTGTTATGGTCTGTTGGTTTCACACAAATCTAGATAAGGGGACATCTATCAGATCAACGTCAGATAATAGATTTCGAGCGTAACGTTTTGTACCGTTTTCTTCCTTTGCTTTTTTTACAACTATCCGGAAGCAAAGAAGATGAACATCTAATTAGAATATCTTGAGAAAAAGAATGTTAATTTAATTAAATTTAAATCATGTAATTCTTATTCTGCTGATCATAATTAAAAAAGATTTAGATACATTAATATGCGAAGAAAACCCTCATTATGATTATCATTTATATAATTAAAATGTAAATGAATTACAAAACAACAGCATTGTGTTGAAATTGTAAGAATTTATGCCAATGTCAACATTAATTAAAGAAACAGTCACCTACGGATATACTGGTTATATTAAAAGTTATTATTATTTTAAAATGAACATTTAAAATAGTATTCTAACAATGTCCAAATAATTCATGCTCTTAGAGAAACAATTGAACAAGCACACAGGTCTTTGATTATTTATTCGACAACAATGTGACGGTATATGTGTGTGAACATGTTGCGAAGGCTAATGGTCGTGTTTCCAAACAAGACAATCGTATCTATTGTGGTGAGTCGCCAAAAGTAAAACAAAATAATAATTGTGCAGAAAGTGAAATCGTCGTGTTTCCCAACAAAACTGTTTTTCTTGCGGTCGTATGTTAATGTAATCACGTGAAATGAATTTTATTGTATGCTTGGTAAGAATGTATTTGTGTGTTAATAATTTTTCTCTAAAGTTTTTGAAAAATTGTTTAATGTATCAAAAACTGTTGTTATATGATTTAAAAACCGGCACATTATCCTAAAATTATCAAAATGATTTAAAGACTAAGTGTTTTCAGGAACTTTCATTTCTAGTAATATCTCTGAAATTTGTCAAAATGTCTTAAGAATTTATGAATATACACAATTTTTGCTTCAAAAATTACGAAATGAAAATGAAGCTATTAAATTATGCCGTTATTTTAATTTAGCTTACAATGAGTTATAAAATGTTTAATCAAAAACAAACACTGCTTAAAAATATATGAATACAGTAACCATAATTACAAAATTACTGTATACTTGCATTGTCCCACATAAAATGCAACATAGCTTAATAGTACAGGCATTGGGTAGTTTTGCAAAGGAAAAGTTTTGCTTGGAAAAAAGTGACGTCCTTATAACAACCCTGATTTTTAGGCCGTCTTAAGAGACCCACGGCTAAACCTGAATGTTTCTAGTTTTAGGTCTAGTGTTAATTCTACTTTTCGTTCAATAAAAATATACCACAATCTAACGCTGAATAGTAATTAAAGCTGGAACTAACCTAGATCTAGAAGAGATTCTAACCTAGATTCTAGTTCTAGGTCTTATATTAGTTCTAGTGATAGTGCTAGTGCAAAACTAGAATTAAACACTAGACTTAAAACTAGAAACATTTGGGTTTAGCCGTGCGTCTTCAGACTTCAGAATGTTTCTAGTTCTAGGTCTAGTGTTAGTTCTAGTTTTAATTCAATAAAAATTTCATTCATTTCTTCACAAAGCATGTTGTGAAGAAATGTGTGGCAATTACTCTGAATCATTGTTCAACTTAGGATTTAAATATTTATAGTTAGGATTATAGCTATATGTATTCTGTTGGGGTAAACCCAACCGATAAGATATTTAGTTCATATAAAAGATGACTACAAAAATAGACCTAATAACACTCCTTTTGTGAAGCTTATTTCTTATTCTGAGATATAAAATGAATTAGATAGTTAGATGGTATTTCTCATCGTTTTAGATACATTACATATCTCTGGTTTCTTTAAATCATATCTTCAAAGCAGGACAGAATATATTATCGGTAAAAATTAGACAGCACCATAGTCTTAAAGACTTTACTGAATGTTACTAGAAACTAACGCCATCGAGACTGTGTACAGGTAATATTTTAAATAACAGTCTTGATGATAAAAATATATCACACATTTTAGGGGCTATTTATAGGTATTATTATGTATATTTATGTGTGTTAATACAATACCTCAAAAACACAATTGAATGGCTAATTGCAGAAAGGATATATGTCACTAAAACTTAGTTTTGAGAAGAACGAGAAAAAATGTCTTTTTTAAACATGGGCATTATTATTGCAAACTTTCTTCTGGCTATTATCAGTTGTTTTTGCCATAGATCATAAAAATAATTTAAATTTGTGTAATTAATTTATCAAAATCTTATACCCTTTCTGTAGTCAACTCCATTTTTCAAGAAACAGTCTATTCAACTAAATAGAAGAATAAAAACTAAACTTACAAGAATAAATACCAACTCAAAGATACATATCCTTATTCTATAGTAGGCTAATCAAAAATTTCATTCCAAAACATGGCTGTTTCTGGAGAATCTTCGACATACGCAGTGGACTTCTTAATATGGTCCATTTTGTCAGGTTTTATAGCAACTTTTCCCGAAGGATTGCTCAGTTGCATTGGGCCAGTGTTATAGTGCCATTATTAGATAATTTCGTAAATAAGTTCGATAAAGTGCTAAATATGATACCATTATAGAACTCTTTGGCAACCACTATACCTTTTGCATTATCTCTCCAGTACTCTGTTTTCCCTTCCTATACCTCTTCTAGAAGTTTCGACAGAAACAGCAGTCTTTTTATACACTTTGGCCATCAACCTGAAATTTATAATATCCTTTCCATCTATTACGTGAATCATGACTTTCTATTTTAAAGTAGAGTTTGCTATTATCTCTACGTACAGTTGTAGAGTTTAAACACGATCATACTTTTGTGGGATCTTAATGTAGGAAAAATCTCTATCACAAGGTAGAAATGAGTGCCCTCTAATAAGAAAGTATTGTTATATTTTGTCAAATCTACCTGTATCTGATAAATAAAAACACATTCAAATAAGAGTGTTATTTTTGTTCTGTCACTGAACAAGTGTAATTCTTTGACATTATGAGGTATATAATTTTCCATATATTGATACAGAAAAGAACATACTTCATTTTTGGCGTTACCCTCAATATATATAAAATACACAACTTCACCTGTCGTCATGTTATCAATACAGAACAAACTGATGGTTAATTGTCTTAAATACAGGAATGTACAGGAATTTTAGGTAGTTGCAAATTTTGCATGAAGTCGAAAGCTAATGCTGCAACATTATTATTTTCTTTTCGATAGTGTTGTTGGTTCCTGTAAAGTCGTATAAAACTTTTTGCTACGTCTTTTATGGATAATCATTTCTGGCACAGCATCTCGTTTAACATTTTCGCTTAGACGACTTTCACTCTTTATTTTTATTAAAAGGTTTTCGCACGTGCAACGTGTATCTACTTGCTGGCTACCAAATTTAAGATCAAAATCTTTTCTGAATAGTTTATTATAATACTCGTATTTCATTTTAGTATTTTAATTTTAATTTTTGTTGAAACATTGAATGACATACGTAGTGATATTCCTTTGATGAACAATGGGAATTTAGCTTTGTATATGTCGTATACAGGAAAGGACACCTTATTGTTAAATGAAGAAGATCTGCTATGGAACGGATATTGTTTGACTACTGATACCTCAATTAATGTTTCTATTGCTAGCATATAGAACAAATACACACGAGACTTTGAGGTTGAGTCGTAAAAGCGCAAATTTGTGTATGACTGATTCTTCTTAAAGTTCGCTTTCGCCTTATCTCGCAATGAAATCATAAATTTGAAGTTGTCAGTGAACCAGGGTGGGCGTATCCTACTGCTTTTCCGTCTACACACAACGGGTGAAAAAACATCAAAAGCAGAAAGGATGCTATCATTGAGAAAAGCAAGCTTCTCGTTAATGTCCTAAACAGAACCAACAGAAGTGTTGCAAATGATCCACGAAGATCACAACAATGCTCTAAGTTTTTTAACAATATGTATACTATTCGTAAAATATCCGCGGAATGGCTGAAGCCTGTTTTTATGCCACTTCAAAAGAAAAAGAGGTACGACAAATACAGATTGATTAGCCACACATGGAAGGTTTTTCTTTGTATAGTATGTACATGGAAGAATAAGAAGTCGATGCGAGATGACAAAAAATGGGTCTAAAATTACCCATTTACTATTGACTGAGATTCATCAGTAAGACAAAATTTGATATTTAGTCGCCAACCCCACGTCGATGTTTCCCTACAATTAGAACATAACATTGAGATAATTGCCCATTCAGATATTTTGGACAAAAAGAGGTTAAGTGCAGAATTGAAACATTTCTGAGTACAAAATCATTTTTCTGTAACGACAACTTAAACCTAAAATATCGCCAAAGAATTGTCAAAGTTTATGCCTGTGAGCGTTATTATATGGAGCTGAGATCTAGACCCGAAAGGCTGCCACAATCAATCGCCTGGAAGCATTCGAAATATGGTTGCATAGATGATCCGAATAACTTAGCCAGACATGCAGACCAACGAAGAAATGTTAAATAGAACAAATACGGTTGGTGAATTATTTAAAACTATTAAGATAAGAAAAATATCATGCCTAAAGCATATTCTTATAGGAGAAAGATACAAATTCTTTCAGCTTATAATGATAGGTAAAATCGAGAGCCGCAGAGAAA